TAGGCACTCTGTCGTTCTACCAGGAGTAAGGGAAGGCGTGTATATACATTGAGGAGGTTTGAAAGGGCAATCAAAGAAGTTGAGTGCTTCAGAAAATGAGTCTTATATGAGCGGCTGGGTATGTATGTGTGATAGTAACATTTAGGCGACGATGGAGAAGTTCGCTCACCGGATCCGCCTGAAGATACACTGCGAAAGCTCAATCTTTCTTCGCAGCCGTCGGCACGTTCCTCCATATATTTATTGATGAACTTCTCAGAAAAGACATTTTCTCAGCCAGTGTTTTGTATAGGGGCGAGTTCTTTCTTCCGTATACCTGGAGAACATATTATTCGAGCTCAGTTGGTGAGGCAACGGACTAGTCTCCGTTTCCGACTTAGTGAGACAAAATTGTGCATATTTTTCTATTGCTCTGGCCATGATTTCGTACGAAAAGTGAAGATCAATGTTGGGTGAGCCTTATTCATTTTATCCAGGAGGGTTTCCAAATCAGTCTTTTCATCTGCTATTGCAAAAATATTATCTACCCATCAAGCATAGGAATAAAGGTACTCTGTAACTCGACAGAGCTGGCTTCTTTCTAGTTTCCCCATGAAATAATCAGCTAGTAGAGGTCCAAGATGTGATCCCTGCGCCGTCGATCTGGCGGTAAAATTGACCACCAAATCTGAATTTATTCTTTAGCATACAGCGAAAAGTAATTCCTTTCGGTCTCTGACGCGTATGCAAATTAGGAAATCCTGCCTTCCAATCTCATAACCTTAATATTCTATCGTTTCCTTGAAGGTCTATTAAGGAAGAAGACAAGATATCTGAATACAAAATGGTTCCCCCATTGAGATATGCATTTTCGCGGAATCGATTAATTCAAACCTTTCCCGTAGGCTACGGGATGTTGTTTTGTGTTGAATAGGCTTAAGCCTTTCTGCCAGCCCTTTTGCAAGTGTGTGATAAAGTGAATTGCACATGCGTTCCATCGACCGGATTAGAAGATTTTATTTGTGAATATTTGGCAAACCATATGGCATTAGAAGTATTGTGCCCGTAGATTTATGAGTTTCGAACTCCTCTTCAGTAAGGGAATCTTGGTCTTTTAGTTTTCGAAGACATGTTGCGAGTTGAACTTCTATGCTCTCACTTTAGTCTTCATTTTACCTCTCTCTCTCTCTTGAAGCTAGTTTCATCAGCCAGGATCGATCAGTGTTATGGAAGTGAATAGTTTTATTCATCAGAACGAGGCCAAAACATTTGGCTGGTCTGGTGACGATTATTTCCTTGCTCCGGCGTGACCCTTTGAGTTTCTTCGGGTGTTCTTTCGTAAGATACCCGATTCTTACAGACTTTCTTCTAATATGTTGGTAGCAATAATTCACGAACGTTGACTTTAAATACTCCGTTTCCTCCGGCGTTCTAGTAACTAGGTCATGTGTCTTACGGAACAGGTTTTCGAATTGAACTTCGACCACTAGTCTGTTTTGTCTTTGACGAGGAAAACAAATCTGTGGCCAAACGATAGAACTTTGATCACGTAGTTTTCGAAAGTAAAGTTATTGAAATTATGTACGTACGGCTTCAGAGCTTTCGGAAAAGTTACCTGTGCGTTCACCGGATTGACATTGCAAAGAAGCTTTGTTCATTTTACTTCAATTCGTCTTCTGATCACGGTCTGTTGAATTTTTGCATGGGTATCATCGCTGAATTGAAACAATCAAAGGATAGCTATGTGTCTCTTACGCCAAGAAACAAAACCAGTGTGTAACTGAAGATACATAAACACTTAATGAGATTACCGTTTTTGTCATCTACGGCAAGCCATACCACCCTACCCCCCACCCCCTAATCCTCAACATAATGCCAATCTGAAGCCCAATCTCAGTGTTCACAAAATCCTAACACTAACTACAACAATATCAAGAAATCGCAGCTCCCAAGCTAACACTGATGGTCGCACTCATCCTAACCGCAGCTCCAGTCCTGTCTGTAGCCCTCGGTCACTCATTCGGGAAGTGCACTTACACCCACATCAAGCAAACTTTACTACCTCACCAAATTAAGTAGTAA